CGGTCCAATGGAAGCAAGTGTTTTATATTTGCTAATTGGCGGTGTTTTTTTTTACCGTCTAACCCAGTCGTGCCATTATAAAACGTTTTAACGTACATTTCCTACAAAAATCGTTATCTCCTTGGTACAAACTTACACAGTCAGTGTGTATGTATGTGGTCATAACAGATGTAGTGATAACACGTTCTTTTCATTACATTGCTACTAAACCGGAGAAGGGATCGCGAATGAAAATAATGGTTCATGGACATTTTATTAACTGATTCGGCAACCAGAAATTGAGTGTGGAAAATGATAAATTCATTTTGAGAACGTGAACAAAACAAAACAAGGAGGTATACATGGTTTATATGGAGAAAGGGTTATTTCGGCATGGAGGAGTTTCACATTCTAAACTGCAATATAAAAACAACACTTTTACAGCAGTAATTGTTTTAAACATGCTTTACAATACCATTAGTTACCATGACATTAAATCACAACGCAAGGTGACATCCCATGACGCATTGCACCGCAGATAATTACAGTGTGGTGTCATTAGTGGGCATCACGTGGTGTATGATTACTGTTTGTGTTAGTTACATAGCAAGTGGCTATAAACAAAATCAATACAATCCAATCCTGAAGCTGGGTTTGATTTAGGCTTCATTTTCGAGAAACAAGTATTATATAAAATATATAATACTATTAAATGTAATGTATTCGTAATATTGAATAATTCTTTAAATGCTGGGGCCCTTGTTGGATATTCAGTGTATTCTTCACACAGCGCGAATCGTGTTGTCGTCTGCTGTCACTATTATGTAGGTAAGCAATTCACCCTGGTTGTGGTAACTTGGTACTCAACAACATGGTATAACGTAATTTACTCATCACACCACCATTGTAATGCTTTCTGTAGGTAAGACTAAATTAATTAAAACTTAATTTGAATAATAACAATATATTCTGGTTGTTGTGTATATTGTCAAACTCACACAAAGTGTTTTGGTTTGCTGATATCTTATTGTATTATATTACTAGTGGTTTTGGCGTGGGGTTTTATTTTCACAGCATATTATTTGTGCCGCTCTGTGATTTACAAAGCCTATTTTGAGGTTACATACCGGTATCTAGTATGTCATTGTCAACAATGTTGTTTACTTCTAACACTATAAGACTAAATGGAATTCCCTATAGCAGGGACCTCCGCTTGGTAGGTCCATGCCCATAGTAAAATCACCATCCACCATGACATTCTCAATGACGAAATCAAACGCTAATTTGTCATACATCAGTGTCGATAAAGAATTACGACTGTAGCAAGTAATGTGGTATATTCGGATTGTGACATTGGGAAGACGAACCTGGATGACACATAGAATACATTGGTTGTCCCTGGGCGTTGGCCAAGCGGCGTGAACTCAGGAATATATGTGTATTTTGCCTGAGTCTGTATGATGTCTTTTTATAAGGTAAATCACGTGTTCCAAATTGATACATCACATGACTCAAAACACCTCTTATTCGCTTATGATAGGACAGTGATTCAATACACTCGCGTAGGTGTCCAGAAAATACATTGAATAAAAAAGTGATTTAACACTTTCACACCGTGGTTAATGCTTCACAAGCTGATTAGTCACAGGGGATAATGTTTTAGGAATTATATTATTAAACGTGATGCCATACACTGTCAGCTGCTCATATACCACATACTTGCTAAGGGTTCAGACAGTTACTTCGGCCTAGGGGAGTCGGTGGATCAGGGGGGTGCTCTGTTTTTGATTTTGAAAATAGGGGGCTCACCCTGTTTTTGATATTACGAATAGGTGATTAGGGGGGGGGGGTTACTATATTTTCCAGAATTTAGACACGCGCTTATGTATATATTTTCAAAAATGTATTTCAGAACAAAAGATAAAAAAGTTAATCGTACAAACGTGTTCTCAATAATTACTATTACCTATATTGCCTATACATTTTTTGATGAAAAAAAAGTTATAGGCTAAATATTTTGGGGTTGACGTTGCCAAATAACAGATTATGCAATGCGGCTTGAACCCCAATGATACTGTTAATCATTCCAAGTCTATGTGCTGCTGTTATCAGATTATTTTATTTAAAGTCTGAAGTCATCATTGTATATTTACTGGATTTATCCAATTATAACAGGAGAGGGAAAGACAACACAACAATTAGTACAAAGAGCTGGGACAGTTTTTGTCAGCAAATCAAAAAAAGTTAAATGTGTGAAAATGCTGATATATAAATTAAAATAAATGATGAAAAAATCAAAAAAATATTTTTTTTACCTTTTAAATATGCATATTCTGCTCTGTAAAATGCCAAAATCTAACACAAATTTAAGCATATATCAGAGTTTACTTTGTTTTCATAAGTACACTGACTGTGCTTCGGGTGTAAAGCATTCTTGGTCTATAAGATATACATTTTGTCATCATTTTTTCAGTGGGGTTCAGCATGTTTTAAAATATAATGATGGGGTGGGTAACATACTTTTTTTTT